ACCTGCAAATGTGTATGCAGGCCTTGCAAGGCTTTCTCAAGGCTCGCCTGAAAGCAGCATCAGATTACTAGGTCCGACCTTATTTAATAAACGAACAACAGTGGTCCGATCGGTTTGACCGTTTAAACGAAAACGGCCCAGGTGTTACTATAATTTGCACTATGATATTGAATGCCCGATACGCAATACGGAAATGACGACACGGTGTACATGCACATTTCGATCAAGATAATAGAGCCCGAGCTGTACTTTTTCCGGAAGTACGTCACGAAAATGGACGCTGTTGACGATGTGTGGAGCCACCTTAAACTATCATAATCTGTTAAATATTACAAAAACCCATTACACCAGACCAAAACAAGACTTGAACGTGATTGAAACCTCAGAAGAGTACATCCTTAAGCCAATTTCTTCCATCTTGAAAAGTCTTGTAAACCATATTGATAATTTAATACTTTTATAATGCAATGGTTCAGCTGCAAATTATTTTTTTGGGTACTTGAATATTTTCTCAATCCCAAAGAGTAAAGAAGACATTTTATCCAAAGGTTGATTATGGTTCACGATTTTTTCTGTAATTATATCATTGTGAAAAACACGAGATAAATTTTGTTGCAGTTATTTTGATTTCTAGATCACTTTTAGGGGTAGGATAACTGGACTTAAAATATAATTGTGAATCACATGAAGCTTGATGACAAAAAGTTATCCTACCTGGTTTATGCATATAGGCCTTAAAGTTATCACAATATGGCTTTATGGGTAATCCCAGGTAAAGGCCTAGATTAATCGAATCCAATCCAGTTTTTAACACTCTGACTGATTACTATAGTTCTATTGCATAGATAACTTATAAATAACATCAGTGATAATATGTATTTATGTCCAATTTGGAAAATGGTATATACATGTAATGTCTGCCTTTTACTTGAATAAATATTATTATTACTGTCTTTTAGATCTAAAGGATACATACAATACACGCTGTGCTTAGTGAATACAATTACTATATACACTCTACTGTATACTTATATACAGTACAAAACTAGCAATATTGTTGCAAAAATCACGTTGTTTTCCCAAAACATTGCATTTTTTTTTTTTTTTGTGTACATTTAGTGACATTTTACCCATAACAAAAGAATATATAATATTACTGGACTGAAAGGGGTGAAACATTAACAATTACTGTTACTTCTACCCCTCCCACTTTTGTTCATTAGTCCCATCCTTTTTTCTTGTTCCCGTTTCCTGACCCCTACTTCAGATCCCTGTTTCGTCCTCTTTTTCCTTGTTTTATTTTGTAGAATCATATTTATTTATCAACATTTTACATCTTTTCAGATATGTAACTTTTTTAGTGAACCTTGAGAGGAGGCTATTTGGATTGTCTATAGATGTCCGAGGACGTGAGAATCTGGAGGCCGATTCACCCTGTATCATAGTCATTAATCATCAAAGTTCACTAGATCTGTTTGGTGAGTGGAAAATATGTTTCATTTTAGGTATTGAGATAATGTCAAGTCTACCTGAAAGTCGATCATTTGATAACAAAATTCTTTAATTGATCATAATTTGACTACCCTAGTTGTCTGTTGCATAAAAAGAATGTTCATAAAACTTGAAATTTAACTCCATTGAATACCAAATGCATCCTACATCTATTTGCATGTATTTATTGTAAAAAATGGTTTTTTTAGTTTATTTCGTAGTTCAATATCATCATTCTGTATCATTCAACACCAGGATATATTGTTTAGTACTTTTTATCCTGTAAGATTACAGCACTGTATCACTGTCCAACCTAAGGATATATTGTAGGGTATTTTCTCTCCTGTAAGATGACAGCACTGTGTCACTGTCCCACATCAGGCTATATTGTAGGGTTTTTTCTCTCCTGTAAGATTACAGCTCTGTGTCACTGTTCTACATTAAGATCTATTGAAGGGTATTTTCTCTCCTGTAAGATGACAGCACTGTGTCACTGTCCCACATCAGGATATATTGTAGGGTTTTTTCTCTCCTGTAAGATTACAGCACTGTGTCACTGTCCTACATCAGGATATATTGTAGGGTATTTTCTCTCCTGTAAGATTACAGCTCTGTGTCACTGTTTTACATTAAGATCTATTGTAGGGTATTTTTTCTCCTGTAAGATTACAGCACTGTGTCACTGTCCTACATCAGGAAATATTGTAGGGCATTTTTTCTCCTGTAAGCTTACAGCACTGTGTCACTGTCCCACCTCAGGATATATTGTAGGGTATTTTCTCTCCTGTAAGATTAAAGTACTGTGTCACTGTCCTACATCAGGATATATTGTAGGGTATTTTCTCTCCTGTAAGATTAAAGTACTGTGTCACTGTCCTACATCAGGATATATTGTAGGGTATTTTCTCTCCTGTAAGATTACAGCACTTTGTCACTGTCCTACCTCAGGATATATTGTAGGGTATTTTCTCTCCTGTAAGATTACAGCACTGTGTCACTGTCCTACAACGGGATATATTGTAGGGTGAGATATGTTACTGGTATCGGGATTTATTTCAGGCCAGGGTATGTTCTGTCCTGTAAGATTATAGATTTGTCATTGTCGAACATCAGGACCTACCTTAGGGTATGACCTCTTCTATAAGATCTGGTTATTGACTAGGAGATTGATGTACCTATGCCCCGTCACCGTAGATATGTAAATTAGAGTAGCAGTTTATATTAGCGTACAGTGGCCATGTGTGATATTTTTGTATAATGAATAACCCCTGTAATAAAAATCAGCTCTCAAATTGGCATATAAATGATGAAGTGGACTATGTGAGCCTCATAATTTTTCAAGAAAAAAATTTGGTTTGAGGCTACAATTTTTTCCATTTACAAATCTAGCTAGCTTTTCATGAAGTCTGTTTATGTAAATTTGTGTAAATATTGTGGATCCACTGGAATGACCTATGCTAAAATGGAGTATTTCTGCTACCGAGTAGGTGATATTTAATACAAGACAGGTTGAAGGAAAATAATTAATGCTTGCGGGAGTCAAATTTTGGGTTAAAAAATATTTATTTTTGCATTTAAAAATAAAAAATAAAAATTGGTAATCATGGTTTTCACAAGTCCCAAATCTGGGGAAAACACTTCTTGAAAAAAAATTGTTCTTCTCAAATATGTATTAAAGATGTAGTGTATAAAATATATATACAGTATATATTATTATGTAGGTGTGTTGTGCATGATGAATCCACTATCCATANTAACCAGTGCAACGAATAGAGCACAGGTGTGATGTGCTCTCTCTTTCGAGTACGAGTAACTAGCCGTGCTGAGTGTTCTGGACCCTCTGAAGACGACTAGTTAGTTTGTCAGATATACCACCGAGCAGGCAAGTGAATGCACCAAAATCTTGCATGCATCTGCAGTTAAAAACTGCCGAATACAGCCGATGTTCCTGATCTGGTAGTAACAGTCATCTGCAACATTAATCAACTAATTACAGTGTTTTTATTAGAATACTGTGAAATCAGATATTTTCATGGGGTCCACATTTCGTGGTTTCACAAAAAGACTTAATTTTGTGGGTACATGAATTTGTGAATTACAAGTACCCATTCATACGAGGAATGTGTCAAACCTGTAATAACTTCGCTGACTTATGAATTCATGGATGAAGAGTACCCAAGAAATCAACCAAATTAAACCCCCTGCAGTTAGGGGGAGGGGGGGTATACTGGAATCACCCTGTCTGTCTGTTTGTCTGTCATCCCCAGTAACTTGTCCGGAAAACAACATCTTAACTAACAGGCAGATTTTATTGAAACTTCAATTGAATGATCAGTATATAATGTTNATATTGTAGGGTATTTTCTCTCCTGTAAGATTACAGCACTGTGTCACTGTCCTACAACGGGATATATTGTAGGGTGAGATATGTTACTGGTATCGGGATTTATTTCAGGCCAGGGTATGTTCTGTCCTGTAAGATTATAGATTTGTCATTGTCGAACATCAGGACCTACCTTAGGGTATGACCTCTTCTATAAGATCTGGTTATTGACTAGGAGATTGATGTACCTATGCCCCGTCACCGTAGATATGTAAATTAGAGTAGCAGTTTATATTAGCGTACAGTGGCCATGTGTGATATTTTTGTATAATGAATAACCCCTGTAATAAAAATCAGCTCTCAAATTGGCATATAAATGATGAAGTGGACTATGTGAGCCTCATAATTTTTCAAGAAAAAAATTTGGTTTGAGGCTACAATTTTTTCCATTTACAAATCTAGCTAGCTTTTCATGAAGTCTGTTTATGTAAATTTGTGTAAATATTGTGGATCCACTGGAATGACCTATGCTAAAATGGAGTATTTCTGCTACCGAGTAGGTGATATTTAATACAAGACAGGTTGAAGGAAAATAATTAATGCTTGCGGGAGTCAAATTTTGGGTTAAAAAATATTTATTTTTGCATTTAAAAATAAAAAATAAAAAGTGGTAAGCATGGTTTTCACAAGTCCCAAATCTGGGGAAAACACTTCTTGAAAAAAAATTGTTCTTCTCAAATATGTATTAAAGATGTAGTGTATAAAATATATATACAGTATATATTATTATGTAGGTGTGTTGTGCATGATGAATCCACTATCCATATTTATCTGAGACATGCCCTTTATTTTTAGGATCAGGCCATTTCTATTGTACTCTGCTACCTAATTCAAGACCAGCTGAATTTATTTCCTCAGGCTTTCTAGCAATACTCACTCATTTTAGTTTAAGTGCATCATACACCGGTAGCAATATCAGGGAAACGGATGTCAAATTCTATATCGTGACACTGCTACTATAGCAAAATTACAAAGTTTAGCAGTACTACTAGTGCAACTATGATTTGTTCTGTGTAGTTAATAAAATTCCTTGGTGTCATATTGATTCTTGTCTCGCCGCAACAAAGTAGCGGAAGCGAGACCAAGACGTTGCTTTTTTTTGGCGACAGCATCAACATTAAGTTTTTGCGTTTAAGTTAGTTTCTCTGACATGTGCTGCATTAATGGTCAAAGCAGGGCACAGATGAGACATATCAATCCAAACAGCTTGTTTGGTTTTGTAGTTATTGTTAGATATGTCAGTCATGATATGAAGCTGATATTTTTGACTGACGATTTCAATTGGATATTTGTTGTAGACTTTATGTGTTTCTCTCTGTATATGTAGACTGATAAATCTTATATAACAGTCATCTGTAACATTAATTAATTAATTACAGTGTTCTTATTAGAATACTGTGAAATCAGATATTTTCATGGGGTCCGAATTTCGTGGTTTCACAAAAAGACTTAATTTAGTGGGTACATGAATTTGTGAATTACAAGTACCCATTCATACCAGGAATGTGTCAAACCTGTAATAACTTCGCTGACTTATGAATCAATGGAGGAAGAGTACCCAAGAAATCAACCAAATTGAAAACCCCACAAAAAGTAGTTACTTCACAGTATAGACCTGTAGGTCTATTACACTTCTTCAATTCATTAATGTTTATGCACATACATTCAATTAATGGATAATTAAACCCCCTGCAGTTAGGGGGGGTGGGGATACTGGAATCACCCTGTCTCTCTGTTTGTCTGTCATCCGCAGTAACTTGTCCGGAAAACAACATCTTAACTAACAGGCAGATTCTATTGATACTTCAATTAAATGATCAGTATATAATGTAGTTGTGCATCAGCATTTTAATTTCAGATTTCAACACTTTTTAAGGGAATTGTAGCCCTTTATGTGAAATAGCTTGTCCTGAAACCCCAAGGTCAAGATCACTAAATGATGTATAAACTGCCAGCATTTACGGGGGTATTAGTTATCATCCGGATGACAGTTCTGGTTAAAATCGTAAAACATAACCCTGCTTATGAGTGGGGAATAAAGGGGAAACAACAAGTCTATCTGGTGATCAGTCTGGACACATGTGTATTTAAACTTCAACTTAAGTAGCATTCAGTTATATTCATGAAACTCACAGACACATTACCCAAGTGGTTGAAAACACTTCTTCAGTGTTAAAATTTCAAGGGACAACAGCGTTTGCTTGAGGGTACAAGTCCCCTGGTTAGGGTCCAAGTTGACAACTTAGAGATGGGGGTAGTTTTACGGGGGAGGGGGTGTTGAAACCCCCTGAATGGACAGGCCTGGAGTCATGGCATTTGGCTGAAAGCTTCGTTGGTAAGAGCTTGACAAAGTTAGAGAACGAAAATGACTTTGACCTACTTTCAAGATAACAGGGGTCAAATGTGTCAAACACTTCAAACAACTTCTTCTGAAGAACTAAAAGGTATATATATATATATAGAATCATAATATTTGGCTGGTGGCTTCTTGGGATAGAGCTGACAAAGTTTGAGAATGAAAATGACCTGAACCTACTCTCAAGGTCACAGGGGTCAAATGTGTCAAACACTTCAAACGACTTTTCCTTCAGAACTGAAAGGTATAGCATCTTGATATCTGGCTGGTGGCTTCTTGGGATAGAGCTGACAAAGTTTGAGAACGAAAATGACCTCGTCCCACTTTCAAGGTCACTGGTGTCAAATTTGTCAAACACTTTAAATGACTTCAAAAGAAGTCATTTAAAGGTTAAGAATCTTAATATTTTGCTGGTTACTTATTTGGATTGAGCACAACAAATTTGCGAATGAAAATGACCTTGACATACTCTCAAGGTCACAGGGGTAAAAAGAGCCACCAAAAACATCAAAAGACTTCTTCTGTATAGTCCAAAGGCATAGAAGCATGCTATTTGGCTGCTGGCTTCTTGGGATAGAGCTCACCAAAGTTTGAGAATGTAAATGACCTTAACCTACTTAAATGGTCACAAGGACAAACATGTCAAAGACTTTAAACAACTTCTTCTGAAGAACCGAAATGAATAGAATCATATAATAATATTTGGCTGGTAGCTTCAACAGATGGTGCCTACAAATTTGGCAATTGAAATATTTGTAGTACAGTATAATATTTAATGAGGATATTTTGCTATGACTGCTGAAATGGCCACACACTGGATGTGGTCATAATGAGGGAAGATAACTCAGTCATTCATGGAGCTATTTCAGTGATTGATCCATGTCAAAGTGATGTNAAGAGAGAGCACATCACACCTGCGCTTTATTCGTTGCACTGGTTACCTGTACGATACAGGTCGCAGTACAAAATTCTGGTATACACATACAAGGCACTGAATGGAACAGCTCCTCAGTACCTACAGGAACTTGTTACCCTGTATCCGCCATCAAGATCACTGCGGTCGGAGTCAGAATCTTTGTTGTGTGTCCCAAAATCTCGTACTGTGACCTACGGAAACAGATGCTTTGGGAGGGTTTCGGCTACGTTGTGGAATAGCTTACCATCTGTTATTAGGAAGTCAAGTACCTTGGCCAAGTTCAAGAGGGACATAAAAACTCACCTCTTCACGTCTGCATTTTAGAATCTTTGCAAAGACGTCATTTAAATACCACCCTTTTATTTGTTCAATTATGTGCACATTGCTTGTTTAAATGTATGAAAATGATTGCAAGCCTTTGTTGTTTGTTTTCACAATTATAACCATTACTATTATCTATATGTTGTAAAGCGCCTTAGAGTAATTTTACAAATTATATAGGGCGCTATATAAATGTTGTTGTTATTATATTATTATTATTAAATATCTAGGTGAGCTATACAGGCCCTCTGGGCCTCTAGTTAATATGTGGACTAATAGGTCTGTAAATGCTGTCATGTTTGACTGATCACAAAGCTAGTCTAGTGACTTTCATGGTCTGGTAAGCCCTGATCACCTCTCACACTGCCAGAAACTCTTTGGACTAGGGGCAAATTGTTATATTTTTTCAAGAAATATGGAGATTTATATATGTATTAGATATTTATACCAAAGTATTACTGTGAGACTCGTGTTCACACCATGAGATTTTTCTGATAGACACTACACCACTTAAAAAATGCAACATGGTAAGTTTCCTGCCACCATTAAAATTCTGTCTTCTTTTATTTGTTAAGGTTTGATGGAGATATGGCCAAAACGGTGTTCTTGCTTAGCAAAGAAGTCGCTTCTGTACATGGGCCCCCTAGGCCTGCTGATGTGGATGTTAGGAGTTGTGTTTGTTGACCGAGTTAGCCACAGCAAAGCTGTCTCCGCACTGTCAGAGGCAGCAGAACACACCAAGAAAGAGAAGGTATACACCATAGCGTCTATATTATACAACTATTGCCCTTGTTCTGGGTTGACGTGAATATTGGTTCACCCAAGAGGTGTTATGTCATTAAAGGGCAAACGTATTTAAAACATCTTTGGTGGACAAATGTTCAACCCAGATCAAGGGCAAGAAAAATGCAAATTTCATCTTATTTTATTATTTGGTCGACATGATCATTGTTTTTAATCATACGACACATTCTCGGCTCAGTTTTCAGATGTTAGGACACATATGTGAGGTATAATAATACAAAATGTCTTCCAGTGATATTTAATAAAAAGAAATCTGTTCCAGGGCAATTCTTCCACAACTGGCTGCATAGGACATTTTTTAATAGTGTTGTCATGGGTCATATGTCTCAATTATGTCTCTAATAATGTCAGTAGGTCAGAGGTCAAGGTCACTGTTATTGTAAATAAATTTCTACTTACCATTCAAACCATGATTCTCATTTACTTATCTATGGATTGTGTTTAGGAATTCACCTTGTGAAGGATTTGAAAATTATTGTATTTGTTTCTAGTAATGTATACTTAACGTTATATGTACTTTGCATCTCATATAATTACATACCATTAGATATAATTACATAACTGGTAAAATACATTGCTTAGTTTATAATTAAATCACATTTTGTAAACATTAATAACATTAATAAGACGATGTTCTTATATACCGCTCTATCACAAACCTTGTCGTAGGTCATCTTAAAGTGGTTCAAAAATTAGTATCCATGGTTATAGGGCCTCTGCAATCATGCAGCCAATATCTTTTCAACTCCATGAGGAGCATACAGCCGGTGCTTCCATTTAGGTGCTCACAGCTAACATTCAACAATTCCAGCACTGCCCAACCACGTACTCATTTACAGCTGAGTAGACTGGAACAAGTGGAGTAAAGTATCTTGCTGATAGATACAACACAGTGCCATGACGTAACTCGAATCCTCAACCCTTGGGCCACAAGCCCAGCGTCCTACCACTTGACTACCATGCCTCCAATGTATTGTACATTGACATTGTATAATTAATTACATTACAATGATTATATTGTATGCATTCCAGCATATTTGTATAATTTACTGATTTCTTGATGATTCTACATCAACAAATTACCCTGGTAGTTGATAACTGACAATGAGTTTCCTTTTTTTACAGACCTCAATAATAATATTCCCAGAAGGCACCAGAAACCACGGTGTTAGTATGTTGCCGTTTAAAAAAGGAGCATTTCATCTGGCAGTATTATCTCAGGTTTGTAGCAATTGGTTTGATAATTTAATCAGAAAAGAAAGTAAGTACATGTACTGTGATCATAGCTGTAGGCTTGACCTGGTATTTTCGTCTCACTGAGAATACTTATAGTTCCCTACCAATACTACTGGAAGGGACTATAGGTTTGTACTCTGTCCATCAGTCTGTGATCCTCTTGGCTGCAGCATATCTCATATAGTCACCTGCAATTGCCAAATTCTGTGTTTTAAGTACATGCTATTGTTACCTCTTGGGCTGGTGTAGTGTGGGGTTCTGAACAGGGTTTTGTGTACCCACTATTAACAGAGTAATGGCCCTTTGTTTGCTGTGCGTTACCTCGTCCGGGGCATATCTCATTTATTCACAGTACTTTGCCTTCTTCCCATAGATTTGGATCACAATAATAATGTAAAGACTAGATAACACACAATAAATAATCTCAAAAATATTCTGTAATCTGGACATTTTCTCTGGACTGTGTTTTTATCCCTGCAGATACTTATTGTACATGTTGTGTGTTTTTATCCCTGCAGATACCTATTGTACATGTCATGTGTTTTTATCCCTACAGATACCTATTGTACCTGTCGTTTTTTCATCCTATTCTGAATTTTACAACAAGAAGGAGAAGATATTTTCTGCAGGTAAGATTTATTTTGGCCTCTTGGTACATCATTATAATTTCTCTAACCCTAGACAGGTGTATTAACACTTTTGCCAGTGTGAGATATCCTCATCTTACCATAGAGTTGGAACAGGGAGACTCCCCCTATCATAACAATTGTATTGACGTCAAGTCAACAATGTATTGAACCTGTAATGTTAACATTGGATTATGTATATGAAAAGGATCAACAGGGCAGGAAAAAGAATCGTTCATCCCCGTTGAGGTGAGATTGGGAATCTCAAAACTCAGGGAAAGATTCCTAAGCTGCGAAACACCCGGCAAGCCTCGTGTTTTGCACCTTAAGAAGCTTTCCCCTTAGGTTGAGATTTCCTTATCTCAATCCCTAAGGGGGTGAAAGATTCTATTAATCCTCCACATACTGACATTGTAATTGATCCTTCTTCTTTCTTATTTCTTGTCTGAAAGTGACTTAAAAAGGAACTGTTTCTTTGAAAACCAAGGCTGTGTATGCCAATCAACTGTCTTTAATATGACATCATCAGATTATGAAAACATTGTTTCATCAAATTTGGGTCACAGCTGTAGAACAAAGAGATATCTTACACCTTGAATGACTGGTGTCTTACTTGGAAAAGCTCTAACCTATTATATTTGAAATTGTGTAACAAGCATGACATGAAAAAGGGGAACTTTGCAAAGTGGTTCTTCCCCAGCCAAATACAATTATGGAACTTTGATTTTTTTTATTTCAATGAGAAACTAGCAATAGTTTGAAACATGATATGTAAGGGCAAACAACAGGCCATAGTAAGGGGTTAGTGTCAAAGATTACTGTACCCAAATCATAAGATTAAGTCTTGGAGAGGAAAGTATATCATATACAGCCTGGAAATGTAGGTGTATTTTTTTCAATTCGGGACTTTAGGGGCAATGGTATACAAGTTAAACACTGGCTAAAATATGATTAGTCAATGACAATTACTTCAAAACTGTCGGGTAACTTGGATTTATTTTGATTTTTGTTTTATATTAGGTAAATTCATCATCACATGTCTTCCTCCGATTTCAACTAAAGGGAAGAAGGTTGAGGAAGTTTCTGAGATGGCTGAAAGTGTTCGCGAACAAATGATGGAGGTGTTTAATCGAACATCTTTAGAATGCACACGGACAAATCTAGTCAATAATCATTGAAGTGTAATGTACAAAACAGTGTATAGAATGCTTTTATCTTATACAGTGTCATCACAGTAACCCAGCTCACTCTTTTTCTGGCAAACATGGCTGAAAATTCTGACAGCTGGATTATTGGGACAACCTTTGAAAAAGGAAATCTGTTATATTTTAATTATGTATGCTATCTTGCCTTGATGTGAATCACTGGTATTTCATATAATCAGAAGCATAAATAACTTCCTTATATTCAACAATCCATGGATTTGTAGATAAGAACTTTAGTTTGTGTAACAATCTAATACAGACATATATGTTTAATTTATGAAATTTAAGTAAACAGACTATCAGGAATAGATAGAATATAACAATAATTTTAAAATATAGTAGTTATGCAATAAACACATCTATAGAGAAAGTACAATGGTATAAACACACAGCTATAGATAAAGTACAATGATATATACACACAGCTATAGATAAAGTACAGTGCTATAAACACACAGCTATAGATAAAGTACAATGGTATAAACACACAGCTATAGATAAAGTACAATGGTATATAAACACAGCTATAGATAAAGTACAATGGTATAAACACAGCTATAGATAAAGTACAATGATATAAACACACAGCTATAGATAAAGTACAGTGCGATAAACACAGCCATATTTTATAGCTATTTTTACTGTAAACACACAGCTATAGATAAAGTACAGTGCAATAAACACAGCTATAGTTTATAGCTATTTTTACTGTAAACACACAGCTATAGATATATTTATACTATATACACACAGCTATATCAGTAGAAGTGTAATGAACAAATGGCTATAACTGTTAGTCATTGCTACACTCAGCTATTGCTGTTGCACAATGCTATAAACACACAGCTATTGGTGATGTACAATGCTATAAACACACAGCTATAGCTGTTAGTCATTGCTTCAAACACCCAGCTATGACTGTTAGTCATTGCTTCAAACACATAGCTATAGCTGTTGTACAGTGTTATAAACACACAGCTATAGCTGTTAGTCATTGCTTCAAACACCCAGCTATAGCTGTTGTACAGTGTTATAAACACACAGCTATGGCTGTTAGTCATTTCTCAAAACACACAGCTATAGCTGTGAGTTTATATTAATGACTAACAGTTAGTTGTTAGTCATTACTATAAACACACAGCTATGGCTGTTAGTCATTACTATAAACACACAGCTATAACTGTTAGTCATTACTATAAACACACAGCTATAACTGTTAGTCATTACTATAAACACACAGCTATAACTGTTAGTCATTACTATAAACACACAGCTATAACTGTTAGTCATTACTATAAACACACAGCTATAACTGTTAGTCATTACTATAAACACACAGCTATAACTGTTAGTCATTACTATAAACACACAGCTATAACTGTTAGTCATTACTATAAACACACAGCTATAACTGTTAGTCATTACTATAAACACACAGCTATAACTGTTAGTCATTACTATAAACACACAGCTATAACTGTTAGTCATTACTATAAACACACAGCTATAACTGTTAGTCATTACTATAAACACACAGCTATAACTGTTAGTCATTACTATAAACACACAGCTATAACTGTTAGTCATTACTATAAACACACAGCTATAACTGTTAGTCATTACTATAAACACACAGCTATAACTGTTAGTCATTACTATAAACACACAGCTATAACTGTTAGTCATTACTATAAACACACAGCTATAACTGTTAGTCATTACTATAAACACACAGCTATAGTTGTTGGTCATTACTATAAATACACAGCTTAGGTGTATTAGTTGGTGCTATAAACACATTTTGGGTTTTTTACCTTTTACACATTTACAGCAGAGTGGCTATCACTGCGGAGATTTTTTAGTATATGTATTTATTGTTTTTAATTCAATACTTTATCCTTTTCTTTGTACGATTATTTTATCTGTTTGATTATTGTTATGTTTTAGCATTGCTGTACGTTTAAATGTACAGCTATCACATAATAAGCGTGGTATGCGTTTAATGCACCCCTGACCATATAATATCCCCCAGAGTAAGACCCTCTGTACACTTCCATCCAGGCCTACAGGTGATTTATATAAAATGGAAAAATCTGTTTCATAATTCTTGTATAATAAATAGAGTTTATTTTACTACAGACAATATGTACAGTGTCATGACATTATGACATTGCATTGTCGAAAAATAGAAATTAAGTCAAAATGGTGTTGCTGAATACAGGTGTCATAGTGAACATGCTTTTTGTGAATACACTTGTTTTTGCATTGTGATAATAATGATCTAAAATTCTTTTCCATTTCATATTGGCTTGGTGAAACTTGTGGAAAAGTTTTTGTTCTTGCTCAACCTATTTTTGTTTCATAAATCTCAAGTGAAATGGAACTAATTATAGATACTATATGTGTTTTTAAACTTACATATCTCAACGTGACTATATGTGTTTTTAAACTTACATATCTCAAAGTGTAATACAATAATGTATTTCAAAAACCTTATGTACATTTGTATTTAAGTCATTTTTAACAAACATTAACGATTGTTAGACTCGTATTGGCATTGGGTAGATTTGCCCGATTAGTGGCAATTACTAAATTTATTTCTCCTTACTTCCCTCTGTTGTGGACATATTCATTCATAAAATAATAGTTTCTACTTATTAATATACAGAGTCTAAAAACTACAACCAATGAAAACGGTTGCTGCCAACAAGATATTTGATTTATCCTTTGAATTTTAAGAACTCTATTTTCTAGTTTGTTATGAAACTAAGTATGTGTGGTCGGGTGGTGCAGTGGATAACGCACTTGCCTTTCACCAAGGCAGCCAGGGTTTGATTCCCCGATCAGACGTGAAAAGGTATGGGGTCACCTGCCCAACCAGTTTCTCTGGTTTCCTCCCATAATAAGAACCCTGCGCACTAACATCTTTGCCAACAAGAGTGATTAATATAAATTGAAGGAACTTGTTTCATAATTGTTGTAAAATAAATAAAGTTTATATTTATATTTATTACTAAGCATGTCTTTCTAAAGGCCTGTTTTTTACTGTATAAACATTGTCACACTTTACAGTATGTGACTTGAACTGCACCAGTGACCAGTGTGATGTTATAGGGGTCAAAACCATTTGTTCATTATAATAACAATGAATAAATAATAACCACAAGTGGAAACCCATGTTTAAATGCTTTTATGAATAAGGAAGTTAAGACACACTATCAAATTTCTTTTAGTTGGCTTACATATGTATCTTTAACTTCTTTTGATGGAACTTTGTGTATTTGATGAAATGATTTTCGATTTAATGATTTGAGACCATTCTGCCTATACATCAGCTTTAATGGATAAATATTACCTCATATGAAGTATGGTTTATATAGTTTGACATCAAAATGCTTGCTAGTCCAGACCATTATTTATTAACTGTATACAGGTATGATTTAACTCATTTATCCCTGAAGACACATATGAACTCTTCCAAATGAAAGATTGGAATAGTTAATTATGAAATTTCAGGGGTGAATGAGTTAAATAGGTGGTGTTATTTGACGATTTCCAATTTTTGTGATAAAGTCAATCTCATGATAAATATGTATTGGGACCACCTCTCCTGAAATATGGAAGGTAATTTAATGAATTTTTTGGTTCATTAACATAAACTGAAGACTCAGCAGTGAGTGTTTTGTTAAAGATGTTTACAAGTGCTGTAAATCTGATCATAGTAAATTGTTTTATTTACAAACAGCATTATTTATATTTTAAAATAAATATGTTATAGGATCTGTTATGTCCGACAAAGTTTGTTTATATACATAGTTATAGCTGTACTTGAACAAATCTGTAAGATCAAATTATCTTAAAATTAATATATGTATATAAAATTTCATTTTACCTTTTACATGCATGACATATTTTTTCAAATGTTCATTTCTGATTGATCAAATAATGATAATATAAAAATCTATGTATATTAATGGGGTTTTTTTTTTAATATAAAAAAAAGAATAAAATATATAACATTTTTTGTCAATTAACATTACATATCAAAAATGGAAGAACTTTTGTCTGTTAATATCGCTGGCCTGCCAACTCCATTTTGGGGAAATCATTCCTGCTGCAAATAATGCTATGTAGTCAACAGAAAGAACTTACCCATTGTTACCCCAACAATATTAGAGGTTTAACACGGCCAGATACCTTTGACAGGCATATCCGTTAAAAAAAATAGCTGACCAGCAGTCTCTTATGTAATAGGAGTGACCCATTGTGTGTCATATCTGCCAAATTTCGAATGACATTTAAAAGAATAAACAAGATTTTAATGTTGTGCCATATCAACCTAAATTAAACTGTGTGCTCTCTCTTGCCTGAACATTTTTGCGAAATGCATTCTCACAATAACAAGCCGATGTTTTGAATCACCTTATATATATGTAAGAAGATACTTCAAACGGATTTATGTCGAATAAATATTTGTGAAATCATTTGATTTATCATCAACCTCTTCTCAAATTTCAGCAAATTTCTAAATAAACATCTCGCTAAAATGTCATTTACAGTGTGACGGTATTGTGCTCAGATATTTTGCAGATGTTTCTTTTTTGCTTTATTTTGGCTTCAGTGCATACCCGATTCATCCTAGTCTGCTTACGAGCGATAGGGAATACTGACTCATGTAAAAACAACATAAACACAGTTAAAGGGATATTCACACATTTATTTTGGAGGGGTTCCGGATTCAAAAATAGTGATACTTTGTAAAAGTATCCATACTAGTGACTCTGATGGAAAGGTTCCATCGTTTGTTTTACACAAAATGTGCCGTAATTAATTATCATGTTTATTTTACAGACAGCAGCAAACACTGGTGGCCACCGTCATCATGAAATTAAATATCAAGTGAAATCATTTTAAAGTTTAAAATAGATATACCATTTATTTGTACTACAAAACAGAAATGCTGCAACATATAGACAAAAAATTGTTCTGTTTTAGGGACCCTCACATTTCAGTGATTTGTGGTATGTTGCTGTTGTTGTATGTATTTTTTCAATGTTGTACAGAACTTTGTATCAACAATATCTTCAACAAAGCTATAAATATTTCAATTTTTCAAAGAAGAATTATCAAAACAATTCATTGGTCATGATTTTTTAATTATTTTCTTCTCTCATTCTTGTATTATTTTGCTTTGAAATGTACATTTTAAGCTAAGAAAGATAAGACTCCTTCCAAACATGACATAGAACTCTTTAAATTTCATTTCTGTTTTAACTAATTCACCCCTACATATCTAAACTGGACTTTCCCATTCTTCGATTTGGTAAGGTTCAAATGTGACTTTAGGGGTGAATGGGTTAAAGTTTGTGTTTGAAGACAGGCTAAAATTTTAGTAAAAAAAGTTAAACACTTAGTATAGTTTTACTGAATATTGGTATCTGTGCATGTATTTATTGTAAAGACCTGTCTTATCATAGACAATAAAAGTGTGTGTCCTTTACTCCCATTGTTACTTTGTGTTTTTACAGAAAAGGGCGGAAGAGATCAAATGGGAAAAGTTTTTGTTTCAAATCATACCAGAATCTAGTCTAAAACTAGACTGTCCTCTTTACATACAGATAACAAAAACACCCACTGGAATCACAGGGACATGTCACATGCTAAATAACAAAAGATATATGTGTTAGTGGTGTCACCATAAACATAACATATGACACTTAAGAGGACCTCCCCAGAGGTTGGCCAATAGCCGGCGGACAGGAATTACATTGATAGGTCCTTTCCTAAAGAGTTTTACTCTGAGAAACCAGATCCTAGTATCACTAACACCTAATGAGGTGCACGACAACTACAGTGGCTAATACAGATTGCTTTTAGGCTTTCAATCTTTTAAGTACAGAAGACTTGGAAGAGATATAACAAATTCGTACAAAGTTCAGAATAATTTCCTGGATGAAAAAGGTTATTTTTTGACCGCGAAACGATAGGTCACGCACTGAAACTAAACTAGATAGTAGAAAATACTCATTTTGTTTGGAAAGGTTTCCCCGATAATGACATAAAAACAACAAATTTGAATTTGGACAAACATTTGCAAAATCTTAAGCTTAAATACAGTCATTTGGCTAGGTACAAACCGATACCCGAAAGTAACATATCTATGTTGGATATGATGGAAGTGGCCAGTGTCCGAGTCCTTTACCTATCCTATTAAAACTCTCTGACTGCCACTAGCTCAGTTTGAGCATTAGTATGATAGCTAGCATTAGTAGACTGGGAAATGGGAGCTCAGCAGTGAACAAAACCTGTTTGTTTAATCAAGGGTCAGTGCATTAGTAACATATCTTCTATACATATTTTTTGTTCAAACTCGGTGAACTGAAGCTTAAGGAGCAGTTAGCACAACTTTTTTTTTAACTTTTACGAAATAACAGTTTTGTTGGTTTTTTTGGGGGTTTTTTTCGGTCTGATAATAATTAAAATGAAGCTGTATATTAGCCCAATTTTCCTCTGGTCCTAACACCAGACATAGACATTTTGACATAAAAATGTCTGGTGTGATCTATATGTCAAAATTTCTAAGTCTGATGTTAGGGCCAGATAAAACTCGGGCTAGCTGTAGATATGCAGTTTTAGTTTTGAATTTTAATATTTATTTTAAATAATTTTAATATTTTTAATATAGATTCGTTTAGGTAAAGAGTACCACTGCATCAGTTTTAATCACGAAGAAGAGTTCCACTCACTCAGAGGTTTTATGTGGAGTATTCTCCCCTTTATATAGAAGATGAAGCAACCTAATTCTGTCCATTTGACAATGGCAATATGTGAAATATTTACTTTGAAAATATCTTAAACGAATATTTTACAATATTGACATAGCTAATGCTATATATTTTAACTTGTTGGTACCCTTTACTTTGAACTAATCTGGCTTTCAACAACCGACCCCAGATAATTAGACACTTTTATAATTGTGTAAAGGGAGGTAACTTTAACATGCTTATCTGCGCAAAGAACGTATGATCACTTTAAGTTTACCCTGTCTGGTTGAACCTGGTATAAATCAATACTTTCTCCAATCCTTTCATTGTCAAAGTGAAAAACACTAAACAAGATTACTACCAGTCGAACAACATATGTCCGTCAGTAAATCCACGGAATTAGATTAAATTGCTATATTTTAGTCCGTGGTTAATCCCTGAAAAAACAGTTATCGTCGAGACATCACAAAACCTGATATTTTCACTAGTCAGATAGATCGTATTTTCATTTAAGTAATAGTTATGAAAGATAATGTTAATATGTATCTGTACTTCAATAGGTATATTTTTTTAAAAACTCTTTATTAGTGATGCCTACACCCAGAGACGTATAAAGAGTTATATGCGTCTCTGCTACACCGTGGTTTTGAGGGCCTGGC